TTAGTAAAGCTGTCAGTGAAAAACTTTCATTGTGTCTCTTTTTAGTGGACATATTCACTCCTGTCTGTTGGGTATATACCCAGGAATAGAACTGTTGGTTTATTCTATATGCACATGTTTAGATTAACATTTAGCAAAATATTTTTTCCAAAGTGGTTATATCAATTAATACTCCCACCAGCAATGTACGAGAATGCAGGAGTTTCCAAGACTCACCAGCCCTTGAATAGTCAGTCTTTTTCATTTTAGTCATGTTGATGTGCTGTAGTGTCTCACTGTAATTTTAATTTGTGCTTCTCTAAAGACTAATGATGTTGAACCCACTTACTGGCCATGATCTCATCTTTTGTGAAGTGCCTATGCAAGTTTTTGTACATTTGCAGTTGAATTATCTCTCTTTTTTCTATTTAGTTTTAGGAGTTATTTATATATTCTGTTTATGAGTCTTCTGCCAGATATTATGTGTTTCAAGATACCCTAGTCTGTGGAACATTCTCACACTTATTGTGGTCTTTTGGATAGACAGAAGTTATTAATTTTAATAAACTCCAATTTATAAGTCTTTTATTTTATGATTAGTGTTTTTTTGTGTCTGGCTTGAGAAATCTTTGCTTGTCACAAAGTAATAAAAATATTTTCCTGTATATTTTTTTAGAAGTTTGTTTTCAAATTTAGGTCTATCACCTATCTTGAATTAATTTTTATATATGATGTGAATAGAATTAAGGTTCATTTTTTTTCTATACCAATATCCATTTTTTCTGGAACATTTCTTGAAAAGAACATCTTTTGCCAACTGAATTGAGGGAACCTTTGTCTTAAATCAAGGGAACTGTATGTGTGAGGTCTGTTTCTGGGCTCTTCATCTATTCCATTGCTCTGTCTGCTTTTGTACTATGCTGTCTTAGTTATTGCTTTATAACAAGTCTTGGAAACCTGGTAGTTTAAGTCCTCCAAATTTATTTTTTAAGGTTTCCTTGGATAGTTTAGATCCTTTGAATTTCCATTTGAATTTAAAAATTATCTTGTCAACGTCCCCCAAAATTAACCATTGGAATTTTGAATGGTATTGTATTGAATTTGTAGATGAACTTTGGAGATAAATGTCATTTTAACAAATGTCAAGCTTTCTAGTCCATTAATATATATATCTCACTTATTTAGCTCTTCATTAATTTCCCTTAAGAATGATTTGCAGTTTCCGGCATTCTTCTCCTTCATGGGAATTACTTCTTTGTTCCCTTTTCTCTTCTCAGTGGTAGAAATTCAGTTGTGCCAATTCAGGATCACTCAGTCACTCTCTTTGACTTGTGGTCCACAAGCCCTTGCTGGCCTCTGTGGAGGTGGCTTGACCCTGCTGGTCTCTCGCTGGTGGCCACTGTCTCTACTCTAAGTTTGCTATAAAGCTAGAGCCTCATGTGATCCACACTGCACATCAGCCCCCTCAGACTCTGTGTTTTCTCTTGGGGACACAGGAAGGTTTCTGATGCTTTTACTTACTTCTATTCACATAGGAGTATAGGGCCCTGAGTTTTGTCACCATATGTTGGCTCCATGCTGTCTGGGACATCTCTAGGGTTCTTCAGTCTCTTACCATCACAGCTTGGGATGTGCAGAAACATCCAGCTCTTTAATTCCTCCCAGCTGATCTGCGGTTTTGGCTCCCACATCTCTCCTGAGACACTCGGTCCACAGAGGGCAGGCAGGGGGAGTCCCAGCCTGGGGCTAGGCCTTCTCTTCCTCCTCTGCCTCCCTTCCTCCACCCCACTCTCCCTACTTCTCCCCTCAGTTCAGAAATGTCCCACATCTCCTCTTGGGGAAGAAAACTGGTCTTAAATCTGCAAACACATCTCCCCCAATGCCAGACTTTGTGGTCTTAAACTCACAGGTCTGAGTCCTCAAGTCTCCTCTCTGGATTTTGAAAGCCGAAGCTTGTTGTATCCCTCACCCCAACTCTGCACCTGCACGATGCTGAGGGCAAGTGTCTCCGTAAGGGAGCCTCGCTGCCCCGCCCTCGTTTCAGTCCTGCGGCTGAAAGGCACTCAGCCACCCAGCCAGCTACCCTCTTTTGAGAAGGCCTCACAGAAGGGCCACGTTTAAACTGGGCTTTGAAAGAAAATCGGGAGTTTGTTGGATGAAGACATGGGGGTGTTGAGGAACGCAGCCCCAGCCCAGTCTTTGGGGTGAAGAAACAAGAGGACGGAGGGAAGGGGCTGGTGGAAAACCCTTGGGTTTGGACTTGAGAGCTACTGGCGAGAGCATGGACCCTGACGTCAGATGGAGCTGGGTTCAAGTGCCAGCACTGCCACTTACTAGCTTGGTGACCGTGGGCATCTGACTGAACCTCTTCATGCTTCTGCGTCCTCGGTTGTAAAGTAGGGGTAGGAATGCCTGCTGGTTTGGGCCCAGGTGGGGACAGAACAAGTGTAAGGCTCACACCACCCGAGCCCAGCACCCAGAGATGCCCTTTTGCTGTGATAGGGGGACATTTCCCCAGGTCTTCTGGTAAATATGGTGTAACTTTTCAAAGCCCTGAGGTTACAAAGAAAAAGTTATTCCAAGGAGACTAGCTCCAAAGCGTAAGCCACACTGTTTATTTCCCTCTGTATGGATGAGATGAGCCATCCCCCAGGGCGTCTGAATACCAGGTGGAGGTGTCTTCTTGGCCTGCAGACCCAGCCCATCTCATGGTAATTTCCAGGGGCCGACTTGCTTCTCAGGCTCAGGGAGGGGAGGTGCTGAAAGGCACAGGGCGGCCCTGAGCCTCCCAGGGGAAGGGCCACCATCTCTGCACTCCATGGATGCTGACTGGGGTGCGGTGGGCTGGCTTTAGCCCCCCCACTGGCAACCTCCCCTACCCTGGGCGATGGGCAGGGCTAGTGTTGATGCTGACTCCATTTTACAGAGGAAAGTGAACATGTCCAGAGGCAGCGTGGGGACGATGCCTGGCTTAGACCAGGTCTTGAGGGAGCCCAGGGAAGCTGGAAAGGCCTTATATGTCACCTGGTTCAAGGCTTTAATGTCCAGGTGGGAAAATAGGCCCAAGGACGTGGCAGCAGATTTCCAAGAACAGAGCTGATCCTGGGGCCTGGAGACCTGAGGTCGGGCCATGCCAGCTCTGCAGCCAGGGCGGCTGGACACAGAACTCCCCTTTCTAGGGGATTCTGTGCTTTCTGTGCTTAATGATCTTAAGGCCTGAGGGCCAGGGCAGCCCCCAAACCTGGCTCCCCACGAGGTCATGGTTTCCTCTTATGAGCAGACATAAATGCTGAGCAGCACGTGGGGGTGTTCCCAGAGGATAGCAAGGGTACCAGGGGGCTGAGGGACATACACCCTTGACATCAACTGGTTCTTTTAGGAAAGAAACCAATGTGGGAAATGTGAGGGACCTACATCCCTGGGAAACACATCACTCGGGTGCCATGATATGTGAGGATTCCGGGGCTGCCCCCTAATCATGAGACTGGGGGCAGAGGCTGGGCCCACAGGGGAAGGGCTGGACACCAACCGGCCAGCGTGACCATCTACTCGGATGATTCCTTGGGCATATAGGCCACGTTGTCGTAGGCAGGGGGTGGAGAGGCTGCGGGGCTGGGGATGTTGAAATCTGTGCTGAAGGCATTTGGCAGGAAAATCACAGGCTGCAGAGAAAGAAAATCCAATGACAGTCCTAAAGGAGGTGATGCCATAGCGCCTCCTTGTGGGTGTTCTGAGAACAGCGCCCAGGTAATGAGTTCTGCAAGTCTGAATTGGCTGACTCACCCATTCAACTAATATTTCAAAAAATATTTACTGGGGCCAACGGTGACCCAGGCACTGGGAATGCAGCGGTGAAGGAAATGGGCAAAAGCCCCATTTCCCTAGGGACTATAGTTCTGGTGTTCCTTCTCTCTGGTCGACCCCCGCACTGGTCATAGCTTCCCTACCACAGCACTGGCCTCCGTGGGGCTCCCCCATCCCCAAACCCCCTGCATCCCCTTCTTTCAACAATCCATGCCCCCTCACCACCACAGACTGATTTCCTTGAGGCCCCTCCACTCACCCTTCCCTTTGAGCAAACACTCCTGCTCAAAGACTTTCAATAGCCTCACCTCTCGTTTTGCACAAAGCCACCTCCCAGGCAGCACCCCCGCCTTACGGCCCGCATTTTCCCGCCGGAGGATGACTTTACTGCAGCTGGTTCCCCTGTCACGAATGCCCCCCTCCCATTCCCTTTTGAGGTCAAGCCTTCGACTGCTCAGCATCCAGGTTACACAGGAGCTGGGCCTTTGGTGATGGCGCCCCCTTGTGTCCGTGAGGAACATAGTCCCATCTTCCCGCAAAGATTCTTTGGGTACCCGGATATTAAGAGAGTTGGCAAGCTTATTGGGCGCGATCCTTGCAAATTGCTTCCCAGAGGCACGAAGAGAGGGGTAGGAAGGGCGCCTTCCAGGCCAACGGTTTCCTCAGAGGCCCAAGCCGGGGATGGGCGCCGGGGTGGAAGTACTCACCGCGTTGGCTTGGGCGCGGGTGGCTTGGCACCCGAAGTGGGTGGCAATGACCGCAATGAAGAACTCCAGGATGGTGAAGATGGTAAGCACGGCCAGGTAGCCCCTGCCCACATCCTGGGGGCCAAAAATGCACAGTCAAGACAAGCCAAGAGTTTAGGAGTGAAGAAGGGGGCCCCGAATGAAGAAAAGGCCCTTCTATACTTTGCCAGAGTGAGAATAACTTACCCAAGGTCACATAGCCGGTGGGTGGCACCCCCTGTGCCCCTCCTTCACTCCACCCTGTGCCCCCACTGCCCATTCTTGGGGTAGGGACATGGGATCTGTTGGGCCTGGCTGGCTCTGCCAATGCCAGGGCCCTGGGCCTCCGGGGGCTGCAAACTCCCGCCTCCCCCCACCTCCAGGGCATGGCTCTCTTGTTCTCCCACGTGTCCCCACTCCTGTGTGTCTGGCAACACACCCAGTTAGTGACACCAAAATCCATGAGCAGAACGGCCGTCGCAGCAAAGGCCGCCATGGCGCTGAGGCTGTTTGTCCCCAGGCTGCTCCTCACCTGCCGGAGGGAAAGGAGCAGAGGGAAGAGGCAAGGGGAGGAGAAAGGACAGGGGGCAGCAGTGCTGCACCTGGGCCTCCGGACGCAGCCCTCCCGGGGCCGGGCCGCAGGGGCCCCGCCGGGTGCGTGTGGTGCTCCTGCTGACTCCCCTCCTTTCCCAGACCCCAGGACAACGGCCTCCCCTACCTTCATCCTCTCTGGCGGGGTTTGCATCAGGCTCCTTGCCCCCGCCCCCCGTGCCCTCCCCCAGGCTGGGCACCCGGCCCCACCCCATCTCCTTCCCCCCACCTCTGGTCTGCCTCTTAGAGTCCAGTGTCCTGGCTCCTGCTCCACCTCCTGATGCCCAGGCCCTTCTCTGCTGTCTCCCGGCCTGGGACGCTGGTCCCCAGGCTCTTCCATGGCTGTCCCCTTCTAACAGCCAGCCTAGGGCCACCTGCTTGGGGTCAGAGTGACTCTCCCATTGGCCTGTGGGCTTCCTTTTAGCAATTTTCACACTCTGTAACTATCTCACGTGTTAGTTTGGGTTGGGTGTCCAACCAGACATCAGAGCGTAAGCTCTGCACGGGCAGGGATTGCCCTTGACTGCCACGTTCGTGGAGCCTGGACAGCGCTTGGCTGCTCCTGCTCGAAGCCTGGGTGGCCTCCCCATTGCTGCAGAGGGCATTGGAGCCTCCTGTCACTGGGACCTAGGACACCCCTCCATCTGATTCCCCCCATTTCCCTCCCCAGGCCTGTGCCCTGGTGGATGGAACCACACACGGTTTCCGTAGCACCCCTGCCCACGGCCCCTCCTCGTGTTCCCCTGCTTCCCGCCCCCAGCCATGTCTGAATCCTATCCCCGCCCAGGCCCCGCTGAGCTGGCTCCTCTTCCAGGAGGGCTCTCTGCATCTCCCCCTCCTTGGACAGCCGTGAGCCCTTCGTCCCGGGACACTCACTCTCTGCTCTGTGTTGTATTTTGAAAGTGGACCTCGGCCCCTCCTGCGTGGTGCTGGGGTCTGGCTGCCGCCCCCACCTGGCACTCAGCAGGCCCCCAGGCAGTGTCTGTGGAAGTCGCCCTATGGGCGAGCAGATAGGGAGGGCCGGTGGACGCCACCCTGCCCTCGCCCTCCCCCACTCGGACTTACCAGGCACCTGGAGTGGTTCTTCTCCACTGCCACTGAGAGGGACCCAGAGATGATGAACTGTGTGCGGAAGAGGATCCCCGGTGAGGCTGCAGCCAGGACCCAGGGCAGGCACACCACGCCTGGGCTCAGCGGAGGCCGTGCGGGTACCAGGGAGAGGGCAGCGGCCTCTTGGCTGTCACCTCCTCCTCCTGACTTCCCTGTGAGGTGCCCCCTGGTTGCGAGGGGCCCGCGCCCGGGGAGCCAGGGCGCAGCTTGAGGGATGCTGGTCTCACTGACCTCCTGTCATCAGGAGCTCATAGGAAGGCACTGTGCCTTCCAGCCGTCATCCATCAACCCTGAAGTGAGCAGCGCGGTGTGCCCAGGTCACCACAGAGCTGCATGAGTCAGACGGGATCCTGCTCTCACGGGGCTGGTGGTCCAGCTGGGGAAGACTGAGGCTTGGCACATAAACAGTCAAGAAGTACGGTAGGACAGGAGCTGTGACCACATGACGAGGGGTCACCGGGGGCTACACGAGGTTGCGTGGTCAGGGCAGGCCTCTCTGAGCTGAGAAGCACGTGGGAGGGCACCGGGCAGATGACGATTTGGGGCAGGTGGGGAGGGGCCGGCTGGGAGGCCAGCCTCCAAAGACAGCTCCCAGTGGATCCCGCCTCACATGCCTGCCCCTTGGCACTTGCCTTGCACAGTGAGCCTGGGCTGTCCCCGCGACCGGCTTAGCTGGGGGAAGGTAGCCAGAGTGGTGCCGTGCCAGTTCTGGGCCTACTGTTAGAAGGCCTCAGCTGCCACACTGGAGAGACCATGGGGCCAGACGGTGGGAGAGGCCAGTGCGGGCCAGGGGAGAGGTTGGGGGGCCCTGGGGGCTACAGGGAGACATCCCAGGGTTCCCAGAGGCCAGCCACGTGGAGACCCAAGTGAATGACCAAGTGCTGGCGCTCACAGGTGAACTGCCCGGGGTCTCCCGGCCCTGATATCTCCTGGGTTTGTAAGGCAGGGTAACTGTTTTTTTTCCCTTCCCACCATTTTTGAAATCTTTACTGGGGCATACTTTGTGACACAGCTGGCAGGAGGAAGCTCAGAGCAGAAAGTAACACCTTTGTTCTGGTTGCAATTTCCCCCTTAGACCCTCTCATTTGCCAACACTTCCTGCCAGCTTCGGGTCACTGGGAACTGTTTGAAGGGCCAGAGCCTGGCCCCACAGGCTAGCCAGGCCCCCCTGCTCTAGCTGTGTGTGGGTCAGCTCCTCTGGCATCTCTGGGCCCCATTTCTGGGGGCTTTGAGCTCTTGATGGAGGCAGCCTGGGACAGGGGATGGAAGTCACTGTGCCCTGGGTTTGGGAACCACCACTCACCGGAAGGAGGCACCTCTCAAATCTGATCCTCTCCCTTTGGTGCAGAATCAAGGGTGGGTAATTGGCTCCCACATGCATTAGTTCTTAATTTCTTCACGCTGTGGGGTAGGCAGGGCCAGAACTACTAGCTGATTTGTAGATGAGAAACTGAGGCTTGAGATGGGGTGACTTGCCTAAGGGACTCTGTGGTAACACAGGATGGAGCTGGGATTCAGACCCCGCTGGCTTCCCCTGAAGCCTGTGCTCCGGGGGGTGGGGGGGGTGGGGTCTGGGAGGCTCAGGTGCAGAGAGGCAAAGCGTCGGCGCTGCAGTGCCTGCTCAGGGTTGGAGGTGACAGGACTGCGGATGTGCCCCACTGAGCCTCCAGCGGGGGTGGGCAGCGATGGCTGGGGTGCAAGCAGAGGAATGGGCTTGGGGATTAAAAGCAGGTTAGACTCCCAGGGGCTCTTGGTGGGCTGGGACCCCCAGAGGAACTGACAGGTTTCTACCCCGGGGGTTCGGAGGCTGGGTGAGGTTCAGGATCCAGGTCATCCAGGTGGTTAGGGTCCCTACCCTGGCCCGTATTTCTTTCATCCTGTGCTTTTTGGGGGCCTTCTCTGTGGCAGACTCTTTGCTGGGAGCTGTTCACATATAGGAGTGGGGTCTGGCTTAGGTTAACGAGTAGGGTTTGAGATTCATTGTTAGGTTTAGGCCCAGGCCGCCCCCCCTAGGAGCGGAGGTGCCCAGGAGAACGTGGGGGGTGGCGTTGCGGGGAGAGGTGAGCTGGCACGGCCCCCCAGGGGGCCCCGGCACTCACGCAGGCTCCTCCCCAGAAGGGGACACCGCCTTCGATGAACAGCATCCCCACGTGGCCGTGGCGGACCATGAGCAGCACGCTGCCGAAGCCCAGGTGGATGAGGCCGATGAGGATCTGCACGGTCTGCGGAGCAGTGGGCGACTCAGTCAGGCGGGCGGCGCGGCTCCGCACCGCCCCTTGGCGGCCCCGAGCAGAGCGTGCTCCCCCGCGAGCGGTCCGCGACGGGGAAACTCCCAGCCCCATCTTTTGAGGAGGCACCATCCCAACAACCATAATTGACGGTTTTAAGAAGGAAAGCCGATTCCCCACAGCCTGTTCCCATGTTTCTGTGGTTTGCATCCGCTGTGGGTTCTGACCTCTGGACCTCTAGCATCACTGCTCTGTGCTGCTTCCCGATTTCCTTAGCCCTCATTTCAACGGCATTCCCTGCACGGAATGCCGCCCCTTTCCGTCCTCGTCCTGCAGCGAAGTCTACTGGCGCGTCTGTCACTCATTCATTCCAGCTGTGAACTCACATTCACTCCCAGAAGTGGGGTGGTCTTCCCAAGGATGGGGACCTGTGGGCTTGTGGCAAGTTCTGTCACATTTCTTCCCACGTTTTCAGTAACAATTGAATTCTAGAACTGAGTGGGAGGGGACATTGGAAGCCCCCGAATTCAACCTCTGTCTAATCCAGGAGCCCTTTCTGGCACCTAATGTCTAAACGGACCTGTGGGTGTTGCAGTGGTCACCACTGCTCAGACCACCGTGGTCCATGTATGGGCAGAGTTGACGATGAATAACTAGAATCGTTTTCTTGGGGTCATGTGAGGTATCTAACAGGAGTGCCAAGAACTTGGGTATTGATAGGTCTGACCCTCTTGAATCTTCTCTCTTCCTCTCTCTATGGCTGCACGTCTTTCAGCTTCCTGCTCCCCGGGTGGCATGGTGTCCCCGCTGCCAGCACTGCTCTCCTCTCTGCAAGCTCTTTTCCGGCTGCTGGGCCCCCACCTACTGGAATCAGGCCTCATAGAACACTGGCTGCCATGTAGCGAGTGCCTGTCTACACTGAGCAATGTGCTGGTTGCTTCACAGATATCTATCTCATTTAATCCTAATGCAATGTATTGTTATCCTAATTTTTGAGATCAGGAAAATTGAGGCTCAGAGATGTACCGTCACTTGCCTGAGATCTTCCAGCCATGAAGTGGCAGGCTGGCTAACTCCAAAGCTGGTGTTCTTCTTACTGGCTGATGCTCCCTAACACCTCCTTATAATTTCTACTTTTTATGGGTTCCAGCCATTTGTATTGTCTTGCCAAATTTCTTTGCAGGTCATCAGTTCCTGAGGTCTGCTCTGAGGTTTCAGGGTTCCGGCACTTAGTGACCCCATCTTTGTTCATTATCTCTAGTCCCTTCAGGCACCAGTGGACTTGGTGCAGCTGTTAGCACAGAATCCTAAATCCCAGCATGTCCGAGCCAGGGCTTCTGAATGCTACAGGGCGGTGAGGTTGAAAGTAGAGCTTTGGCATCAGGTTGTCTATGGTACAGCATGCCACTTACAAGCTGTATGGTCTTGGCTAAATCACTATTTAGCCTTGACAAACCTCAGTTTCCTAATCTGTCCAATAGAAACTACAACCCCTTCTCAAAAGATGGTGATGATATCTAAGGAGACAAAGCATGCATGCAAATTCCTTGGCTCAGTGTGTGCTCCTCTCATGGGGGGGTATCAGTGAATGAGAGCTGCCATCACCACCACCACCACTGCTGAAGCCATGCTTTCATCGTCTACTTGGGGAAACTGAGGCCCAGAGGTAAACTGAAGACACTACCTGTATGTATGAAGATGAATATGTCTGTCTATCTATCGTCTATCTATCTATCATCTATCTATCTATCTATCTATCTATCTATCTATCTATCTATCTATCTATCTATCTATCTATCTATCTATTTATCATCTATCTATCATCATCTATCTATCTGTCTATCATCTATCTTTTATTTCCTCCCAGAGACCAGTATCTCAAGGCCATCTGAGATTGGAAAGGACCTTAGCGGCCGTCTTTCCTGGGCCGTCAGCCCTGCATGAGCTTGCCCTCACCACCATTGCAGCTTCATCTCATCTCCCACCTCCCTTTGCTCCTCACGTTGCAGCTGTGTTAACCTTCTGCTTTACCCTTGACCAGGCCACACTCATTCCCACCTCAAGGTCTTTGCCCTGGCTGTTCCTGTACCTGCTGGGCCCCCACCCACCATCTCCCCCTGGCTGGCTGCTGTCCAGCATCTAGGATTTAGCTTAAATGTCAGCCCCCACAGAGACCACTCTGCCCACCCTTGCTAGTGTTGCCCCTCCCATCCATCATTTTCGACCTCATTGCCCTATTTGGAGTTATCTTCATCAGTTGTCACTGGTTTGTGCTGTGTGAGCCCCATGGGGACAGGTCCTTGTCTGCCTGGTGCACAGCTGAACCCCAGGTCCTTACAAAATATTTCTCAAGTGCCTGCCCCTGCTCCAAAATGTCCATAAGTGCTGCAGAGCTGGGGGGCTTCCTCCCAGCCCAACCCTGGGGAATCCTGAGAGGCTGTTCTTACCCCTAAGGCTTTGGGCTCTCCCGTCAGGAATGTCTCCATGGGCCGAAGGTCAGGTGGCTGGGTGGCCCTTGGTGTCTGTGTCCCCAGCGGTGGCTCCTCGAACTGCATAATCCCGGAAGGTTGGCACATGGAGGTGGGCAGAATGGCTGGAGGGGGGCGGAGGCTGCTGGCGTTGCTGGGCGGGATGACGACAAACACCCCATTGCTGGTGGACGGCGTGGACATTGTGCTCAGAGAGCCTGGGGGATGAGGGCTCAGGAGATAGTAATGAGGATGGTTACGCATTTGCATCAGGCTTTTTAGATCATAAACAACATGCCGTGTAGCGTGCTCACTGTGGCCCCCTGAACATGGCACCAAAATCTGGGGTTGTCGATGAGGAGGCTTCACACAGAGACCTGACAGGATGTCCAAAGTCAAGGGCCTCTAGGTGAGGCAAAGCCAAAACTTGAATTCCCCTCTCCCTGACCCCAGAGGCCACTCTCTCTTAATCTTTGTGCTACATCCCATGGAAAGAATGTTTAGGAGGGGCATGGATTTAAACTTCCTCCTTTCCCCAGAAAGGGCAAGTGACTTGCCCAAGAACACACAGCTGGTGTGAGGCCACTGAGCCGGCACAAACCTCTTTACCCACCGACCGGAACTCATCCGCCATTTCCTGTCCTTCAGCTCTGAGGCTAGGGAGCTTGTGTAAATAATTCCTCTGGGATCTCCAGCTATGGAGACTTTCTCTCTGGCTACCCAAGCAATTGCTTTTGATGTAGCGCAGATAGGCATGGATTATGGAAACGCTGTGTGAGCACTTTGGGGAAGACCACCAGCTGTCAGGAGGGAAGTTTACTAGGCAACAGCAGCAGGGTGAGACCCGCCAGACTGTACAATAAAATTGAAGCCAGTCATGCATCTCATTGGCATTAACTGGTTCAGCACAGGGCTCTGGAAACAGAGACCATGATTTGAATCCTGACCTCTCCAGTCACTGTGCCTCAGGTTCCCTGCATATAAAGGGATAATAACACTGGTAACAATCTTACAGGGTTTGGTGTGAATTGGATGGAAATAACACACACAAACCTGATACAAGCCATCCGTTAGAGTGTGATTTGTTTCAACACTATTTGCCTGATGTGTGTTCTTAAAAATAATATGGATAAATGAGTCACTTACACTGAACAATTAATGTGCGTTTTTCCTGGTGCCCTGAGAGCTATCATACATGTCTGTCAGGAGAGAGCCAGCTCGCAGACCGTGCAGCAAAGTCTCAGTGGTTCTGCAAAGGCTTTCTGCTGATGAGGGCTCAGCCTCCCTGTTCTGTGGTGACTATGTTCTCAACTTCTGGGGAGCCTCTGGCCCATTTATTTATGACAGGTTTGCCCTACATCAGTGCACAAAGTGGGGGTGGAGGGACTGTGCTGGACCTGCTACAAAGAGACAGAATGCAGTGTATCCAAGATTTCTGTGACTGGAGGCGTCATGGGGTAAAAACCTGCTGGTGTTTAGGGGGTGATGGAAGTCACCTGTCATTTTGAAGGGCCTGCTCATGGGGCTCCCTGGAGTCTGGGACCTCCACAGGGATTTCACTGTGACCTCACTTTGCAGCTCCCACTCAGCTGGGGCCTCATTTCTAGGAACTCACATGGAAATGACTATTAGAAGACATGGACACCGCTTAGAGCAGGGTTGGCTAAGTTTTTCTGTAGAGTCAGATAGTAATTCTACAGGGCTCTGTGGGGCCATAGAGTGTCTGTTGCGAGAAGGACACTCCCACTGTCACACAGAGCAGACAGAGGGAGCACAGTACACAAATGTGTGTGGCTGTGTTCCAACTGAGCAGTATTTATGACAGCCTGTGGCAGGCCTGTGGGATCTGTGGGCTGTAGTTTGCCAACTTTGTTCTTAGAACACCGTCTGGCATAGTGCTGCGCATGGGAAACTACATTTTGGCTACAGCTTCAGACATTGTTACATTGATGATTTGTTGTTGTTTGGGGCACTGAGTTTGTCTCATATTTATAAAATGAGGATGGTGATGGCTGCTCACCCTGCTGCAGAGGCTAGCGCCTTAGTCCTTGGACATTGGCAGGGTGCTGTGAATGTGTTGGGGTTTGACTTAGGGTGATAGTTTCAAAGCAATGTCAATGCGATCCTATCTCATCATGCACCTTTCTGGAACTTTCTAAACCAATTCACAGTGACAGAGCTCCACGCTGCTTTGGTGCTGGGTATCAGGTTCCTCAGAACTTATAATAAACTTTTTTTCTTTTTTTTGAAGACTTGCTCTTTTCTAGGCACCTCAAATATGTTATTTCTTATCCTCACACGGATCCTTTGATAATTCTTGAAGGTTTATTTTACAGATGAGACCGCCTGGGCTCCGAGCAGTGAGGGGACTTACTTAGGGTGGCGTGGCTAGTAAATGGCAGAGCCAGGGTTCAAGTCCTTGTTCATCCCCAAAGCCTGCATTGGCCCCCACCTGGCGCCACCCTCCAGGGCAGTCATGGGTGCTATTTGCCTGTTGTTCCAGCTCTTCCATTAAAGTTTGGTGTGGTCACATCACTTGTTTTGGCTAAATAAATGTAATCAGAAGTAATTGTATAACTGTGTGGAGGCAATGAGTCATCAGGGAAAAAGACACTGCAAGGCCCTTTCCCTCTTTATCGTGGCGACTTGCTCTGTTCTGTCTCCCTGGGACCCTGAATGAGCACGACGTGCGGACGAGCCCCCAAGGGACATGCAATGCGAGGAGGAGACAAGCCCTTGTTGTGTTAGGCCACTGAGCTGTTTGTTACAGCAGCACAGCCTAGCTTCTCCTGATTCCTCCATTCCCCCAAAAATGACTATAAACAGGGGTCAGACACAGAGTCCACGCCCTCCAGAGCCTAGCAAGAGAAGTTTGCTATTCAGTCCAACAAATGATTATTGAGCATCTACTACGAGCACCAAGCTTAGGTGCTGAGAATATACAGATGAATTAAGACCTTATGTCCTGTCCTCAAAGAGTCTTGAAAGGTAGAGCAGGGCCGCCACTAGGAGAAGGATGTCGGTGGGTGGAGGGAGGCCTGGTCGACCTTGACTGAAGAACTCAGGGATGTCCTCAAGGGGGACGTGGACCCAAGCAGGGTCCTCGGAGGTGGCTGCCTCTCTGCTGCCACCTCCCCAACCCCATGTTCCTTTGCTTTTCTTGTTCTCTCTTCAATTTCTTTCTCCTCCCCTTCTCATTGGCCTGTTCCCTCCCTGCCAGACACATCTTGGGGGAGTGCACAGTTGCTGAGGACACTGCTAAACATCACCTGGTCCGAGTGGCCAAGAAAATGGGCAGAGAGAGTGAGGAGGTAGGAAGATGGGGATGTAGGCTGGGGAGGACCCTCCTGCCCTGTGGGTCTTCTTGAGGTGTGACTAGTGAGCATGAGCCCTCATCTCATTCTGCAGGAGAGACAAGCAAGGATGATTAGTCACGCTTAGAGATGAGGCAACTGGAGGTTCAGAGAGGGTGAGGGTTTCTCCCATGGTCACACAGCACCTCGGAGGATGGACAGGGATAGGTGCCGGACTCCCTCTCCTGGGAGGAATGCTGACTGTGTGGAATTTACCCACTCCTGGGTTTGAAGTCTGCGTTTGTCAGAGGGAAGGACCAGCACTTGTGCTCACCCCTTGGAGCGACCACTCCAAGATGCTTGGAGTTCATGCAGCAGCAAATCGCGAACCAGTGGGGACTGCATAAATCTGCCACTGTCCATGTCCTTGATAAGCTCATTTAAAGAAAGCATCCACGTTCTCACCCATTAGGAAGGAAGGATGTAATTTTAGAATAAAAGCACGAAACCTTTAAATGGAACAAATTTAACTCAGTGAACACCTCGCTGCTCTGTCCATATAGTTGTTGTTTCACCAGGGACAGGTGAAAACTGGGCACGAGGCCCTTGAGGTTTGCAGTGCATTTGTGAATGTTCACTGGGGTCCCAAAGGCTGATGCCACCGCTGGTTGGCAGACTTGTCCTGAGCTGTCGCTGGGGCCTGAGCAGCCCCAGAAGGGAGCACATGAATAGTTAACAACATCTCTCCCGGGCAGGTGGTGAGAAATGGGCTGAAACTGAGACCTCACCCTCCTCAGAAGAAGAGAAAACACCTACAAAAATAGACTCCTGCTGATAAGGCGGGTTAAGTGGTAACAGCGAGCAGGCAAGTGTCACATAGTTCCTGAGACTCACCAGCTCCTCTCTGTACCCACCCCTGCAGCACCACCAGAGCATCTGCACCCCCTGGCTGGAGACCATGCCTCAGTCCAGAAGCCACCTGGCCCGTGCCTATGGCTCTGTGCCACCCAGAAAGAGAACTCCTTTTTTCATTACTATGTGACAAGCTAGCTTGCCCTAAATGCTAATGCACGTGTGCCAGGGGTGGGCAGGTGGAAGGAAGGGCAAATCAGAGTCCCCTGCCTCCAGGAGTTTACAAGGTGAGCACTGGCTGCCCACGATAGAGACACAGAAAACATGCAGACATCAACAAGAGGTCTGTTATCAATGCTGAAGGAGCAGCGGTAGTGCTGGACCCGCATATGCACAGCCCTTTACAGTACATAAAACACTGTCATCTGTATGAGAACCATAGATCCTTTCAGCAGCCCTGCGAGCTGGGTAGTAGCTCACTTTGCAGACCAGCAAACCGAGGGTCAGCAGCAGCAGTGTGGTGGAGCAGGACAGGCTGTGGCCTTGAAATTGGGAATATTCATCAGACACGTTCAAACAGAAGTCTCAGCTGAGACCAGTGACTGTGGTGAGCTGTCCCACAGACGGCCCAGTGGGACTTGCAAAAAGCAGGTGACCAAGAAACCGCTAGATGACTCTGACACTCCCACCCACAGGGCGGGGAATGGAGACTGAGGAGGATTTGCGGAGAGAATATTTAGAGTGATCTGGGCCCCTTGCAGGGGAAGGGGTGCATCCTGTTCACCTTAAGACAGGATGGAGAGGCTAGCTTTAGGGAGCCGTGGAGGATGGGTACGCATCCCCTGTGGTCTGCACCTGCCAGACTCCTGCCCTGAGGGAGGAGTTGTGGAGGGTCCCACAGGACCCCTCTGCAGAGAAGTTGGCTCAGACACCGCCAGCCTCAGGGGGAGTAGCAAGCAAGTGTGTTTCCCTGTCCCCTTCATCAGCACCTTCCCATTCTCCCCACCCACCAGGCGAGGCAGAAAGTGAGTTAGCCAGCTGGGCAGGAGGAGGGAGAGCTGGCCGGAAGGGGAAGGGGGCCCCACCACGTCCCCTCCTCACCTGCCCTGTGCTGGGCTGAGGACCGACGTGCCCTCAATCAGATTGTGACATAACACAAGATCGGACACCCCAGAGACTAAGTCGGGCTGTTTGTCTTGCCTGAGAGCAGCCAGGAAAGCTGGGGCTGGCTGCCTGCAGCCCCGCAGTCACTGCCAATTGTAAAAGAGACCGTGCCCACCTGGCGCCCAGCACAGGGCCTGGCCTGGCCTGGAGGCATGCAGTGCCTTCTAGCTGCTGTCATCAATAGCCTTGTGAGGTAGGTACCATCGTTCTTCCCACTTTGCTGATGAGGAAATTGAGCTCAGAGCCCTTCAAGGCAAGTCAGCTGTTCATGAGTCTCAGTTTCCCCACCTGTAAACTGGAGCAGGGGGACTGTGCAGGGACCCCTTCACTTGAATGCTGCCCCTCTAGAGCTTGAGGTGAGGTGAACTGTGCTCCTGCTGGGAGCCTCTCCCCAGGACCCTCCCGGCAGGCAGAGACCCAGCAGCTCAGCACACCCTGCCAGGAGAGAGGGCTCATTACCTGTCATTTAGAAGGTAAGTAAGGTGCCTTGCCTAGGGCCACACAGTCAGGATATGGAGTAGAGCTGGGCGCAAACCTAGGTCGTCTGACTCCATCCCCTGCTCCTTCCCAGCCCACTGCAGCCACTCTGGTCTAGGCACCGCACTGTCAGGGCATGGGGGCTGCACCATGTGGCCTCGGTGAGCTCTAGGACCCTGACTCCACCGGCTTCCCCCAGCTGACCTGAGGTCTCCTGGTCCGGCACTGACTCACTGCCTTTGTCCAGGCTGAGCCCAGACACACGCTACCCTGGAATCATACACCTGACCCACTGCCCAGAAAGGGTGCCAAGAGATGCAGACACATGGAGGAGGAAGACAGACCCCCCAGGCCCCACACTCATCAGACTGGACCGCACCCACCGCCCGGCCCCTCGGCAGGTTCCCCTGGGCTCCGCTGCCCACTCCTCCCTGAGGGCCTGTGGGAGCAGACAGCCCCTTCCCCTCCTGGGTCTCCATCTCCCCAGCCAGAAATGAGGGGCGAGGCAGTATTTGCCCTTAAGCCCCTGTCCAGATCAGCCTCCCTGCTGGGTCCTCTTTCCCTGCAGAAGGGACAGGGCAGGCACCTGCATCTGGGCTGGCGTTGCCTTTCTGACCCTCCCGGGCGGGCTGGGGGCTGTTGGAGAGGGACTCCATGCCCCTGGGAGGATGGTCAGGGTGCTGGGGCCTCTGGGAATACGGAGTCAGCTCAGGGACCGGCTTTGAGGACAGAGGAGCTCAACAAGCTGTGATGCCTCCTTTGCCCCCACCACCTGGGCAGCGGGGCTGTGGTCCTGGGCCGCGGGTCCATAGTGCCAGGTGGGTAAGACCCACCAGCACAGCCTTCTTGGCCCAGTCTCTCTTGCTCCTCCATGCCTGGCACCCGCTCCCCTGCCCCATTTCCCGTCGCCCATGGCAGGGCCCCGCGTGCTCACCCGCTGCCCCGGCCGCTGTGCCCGCCACTGCTCCCCGCTGCCTCTGCTCCCCCGCAGCCGCCTCTCCTGAGTTCACACATATTCCTGTGAAAGCCTTGCAATTCGTGTGGGGCTTGGAAACCCGCTCTGCTCGTATGCTGCTGCTCTGCGAAGTTCTCAGCCCCTCCCGGCCAGCTGAGGGCCCGGAAGCTGCTGGTGGGGTCGTTGGCCTCCAGCTGCAGGGCCCCTTGGGAGCACTCAGGTCCTTACTTCAGTGTACAGAAGGGGAAACTGAGGCCCAGAGAGGCAAGTGGCAAGCCGGCATCCCCCCATTAGCGTTAGAGTTGGGAGTGGGATCCATGTTGGCTTTCGCCCTCCTGCAGCTGTGGAGGGAAGCTGAGAGAAACCGGGAGGCTCCCTGACTTCCTTCTACCTGAACTTGTGGATGATGTTGGATAAGGGACGCAGGTCCACAGCTTTCCAGTGGCAGGGGGCAGTGTGCATGTGTATTCGGTGTGAGCGAGTGAGTATGTGGGTGTTAGCATGTGCCAGTAAGAACATGTATGTGAGTGTGGAAATGAGTGAGGGTGTGAGCATGTGTGCGAACACACATAGGGTGTGTGTGCACTTGAGCATGTGAGCATATGTAAGTGTAAGTGTGTGTATGTATAGAGTCAGCCACAAGGGCTGTGTGAGTGTGTATAAGCATGCATGATGCATGTGTTCGTGCACAGAGTAGTATTCAATTGGCATAAGCACAGAGAATTTGTGCATCGGTTTCTGGATCCAGGTCTCACCAGAACAGTCCCTGAGGCCTCTGCAGTCAGGAAGACACCCAGGGCCTTGGGGGCTGAAGGTGGCATGGGAGGGGCTGGGAAGGGGAGCCCTGGGCCAGCTCTCATCCAAACCAGGGGCAGAACAGTGCAGCAGGGTGGTTGCCCTCTGTGTAGACACCCCTCCTGCAGCTAGAACTGGAGTCTGTTTTCCCAAACCTTTGAGCTGCCCTGGGGTATCCTTTGCCAACAGAACTTGGTAGAAGCGGCCATGTGACTGTTCTGACCTGAGGCCTTGGGTCTATCCGCTTCCAGCTCCGTCTGAGATCTGCAGTTCCTCCCACATACTCTCTCCAGCCCCATGCAAGGGTGCTGTTCCCATGCCACCTTATATTTCCCTGCCAATGGGTGGGCATGGGGACTGGATCCTATGATCCAGAGAGAAAAGGCAGCAGGAAGAGCTGGTGTGGTGTGGTGGGAAGAGCACATGGCTGTAGGTCAGGAGACTGGGAATCCTGTTTTGTGTCCACTGCTCTGGGACTGTAGCTCAGACAATGGTTTTCCTCTCTGAGACTTAGTTTCCTTCTCCATAAAATTGGCTGAAAATATCTACCTATATTATTGTTGGCAATTAGACACCTGTGCTCAGTGAAATATAGGTGCTGCATACATGACTGTTGCCCATCCCCTTCCCTCCCAGCCCTCTGGGTCTTGTATTAGAATGGTCTCTGGAACCACACTTTAGGGGGTATATTGTGGTCATAGGGCCCTTTTGGGGATCAGTGTCACAAATGTGTCCCTCGCCCAAAGGTCCTGGCTGTGGGAGGCTGCGGGCTACCGGGTGTGAGGCGGTAGGGTTTTCTGACCCTTCACTCATTTTGCATCCTCTCTCCCTTATTCCTGGTAGAAAACTGATGCTCGAGCATAATCACTTATTGAAGTCAAGCCAGGAGCAGTTGTGGAATTAGCAAGAGAAGAGTTTGTGGGTCCCTTGGAGAGGCGCCACTGGGAATAATTCTGGAAGTCTTTAAGGGGCCACCGCCCCCCCCTTGGAGGGCACCAGACATATGGTTTCCAGCATCTGGACCTTCTGGACTGTTGTTGGGCTGGAGCCAGGGCCCTGGAGGAAAGCATGGGAACAGAAGAGAGAGGAGGGAGGGAGACAAGAGGGTGGGCCTTGCGGCTGACTCTATACCTACAGAGGCCCTGCTGGTCCATAGGGCGCTTTATGCAAATGGGGAAAGTAAAGTTTAGTTTCCAATCAGCGTATATATCTGTATATATCACTGCACAACCTGTATAGCTGTCTCCCTGGGGCAGGGACGGCGCATGCTCTCCAGGGTTCCGTCAGGCAGCGTATGTGTCCACATGCCTTCCACTCATTGCTCGTGAATGCTGAGGCCTGTGCACTGCCGGCGGCAGCATGCACACTCTCTACACTCCTTGGGGGTGACCATGTCATGGTCAAAGAGTTTTGGGGGAGGGGCCAGACTCAGACCCCAAGAGTTTTATGACTGAGTCACCAATTTAGAACTGGTTTCTGAACAGTGTGCATGTGCCAGGAGCCATGGAGTAAAAATGCACTCTGCAGTTCACCATGTTAAAACGTGGCCAGAGCCCAAGGGGAATTATTTATGAATTAAAAAAAAGAAAGACATTATTAACAAACAAAAACGAAGCTTAGGCATAAAGAAGGGAGAAAATGGTTGTGCGCTGTGGCTCAGGACAGTGCTGCAGTTTCAGGGATATTTGAGGGGAAAGGAAAGATTCTGCTGTAATCTTCTGTGCCATTGAAACAGTCATTCCATGTCATCTACTTCTGGGCAATGCCACCTACACCCTCACAGGAACGTGGCTGGGGTGTTACCATCGGAGTGTTGGTGGGGTGGGTAGGGATGGAGGAGCTTGCAGGACTGTTGGCCAGTTTGGTGGTAGCGTTGACAGGGCCAGTGGTAGTACTGGCTGGGCAGGTGGTAGTGTTGTTGCCGGGGCCTGTGGTAGCATTGGCTGGGTTGGCATTGAATATGGTTGGAAATGCCAGCATGTTCTGAAAGACAAAGGATGTGAAATCATCATCTTCCTCTGTGGTAAATTACAAAAATGGCCACAGATTCTTCCCCTTTCTGCTCCTGTGCCTTTCAGTACACCCTCCCCCGCTGATGCTGGGCTTGGTTATGTAACTTCCTTGGCCAATGGAACAACAGTAAAAGTGTGATGCAAGCAGAGACCTAGAGAGTGTTGGTACATTGGGGCTTGCTCTCCCTTGTTGCTCTTTGAAACACTGAGGCTGCCTTAAAGAGAAGCCTGGGCCGGCCCACCAGATAATGAGAGACTAGCAGGCCAGCTGTCCCTGTTGAGCCAGCTTGCCAGCAGCCAGACATGTAAGTGAGGCCATCCGAGGTCATCCAGGCATTGACAAACTCACCAGTCGATTGCAGAGATGAGCTGTGCTGGTCCAGGCCAGAAGAACTGTCCAGCAGACCCAGAGAGTCATGAGCCACAGAAGTGGTTATTGTTTAGGTCATTAAGATTTGGATTGTTTGGTATGTAGCAAAGGTAATTGAAATGGAAGTTGGTAGCTAGAAGTGGAGTAACAAAAATCTAACACGTGTGCTGTCTTTGGGACTGGGTGGCAGATGGAGGCTGGGGAAGCAGTGAGGAAACCACCACGGCAGCCTGCGTGCGGCTGCCCATGCCCTGAAATGGCAGAGCACTGCCACATTTTGGAAGACAGAAAACATATCTAATAACTTCTGGATGTGGCTAAGGAGATCACCAGGCAGAATGCTGGGAATGCCGGTTGGCTGCACCTCACTGCCTATAATAAAGTTCTGTAAGAAAGATCAGGTACAGAATGATTTAGTTTGCAAGTAATAAAATTAGAAGGAATATTGAGGGTCCAGGACTTGATGAGTTGGAAAATAAAATTACCTCTTATTTCTAGGGTCCCCAACAGACAGATGATATTCCAAGTAAAACTAGACCGGAGGACAAAGATCAAATCAAGGATGTGTCCATATAACCCTTTGTTAACACCTTTGAAAGACTTAAGGCAGTGGCTAGTCAACCCTTTCAGCTAGACAGAAAGGCTTCTAAGGATCTTAGGAATCAGGTGCAGTGATACCACGGAGCTCTCTCTCTCCTGTTCTTCCTTGTCTAGTGGGAGGGTGTCCTGCAGTTGTCCTGTTCTTGCCTCACTAAAGAATGTTAAGAATGGATGGACGGGGGCCAGAACTTGTTTTTAGGTCATCGTTCTCTGGATCAGGAAGAGCCACAGCTCCAAATCCTCAGTCACATCTAGACCTGATTTGGATCCTGGGACTTCAAGCTTGATGCCTTAATTAGATGGGACTTCTGGGCATCCTGGGATGGGGTGAGCATATTTTCATGTCATGTCAGGTAAGTGTAATTTGTGGTCAGAGGGGAAGACCGTTGTAGACCACCGAACTGGCTACAAGTGCTTCCTGTCATCATATTCATGCCTCTCTGCTACGCGACATTGTAGCTCCTCTCACTGAGAGGTAGAGCCATTTCTCCACCCACTGAATCTGGGGGTGGTCATGTGATTTAGCTTGGCCAATGGGACATTTGGGAATGGAACACAAATAGGGACTTACAGTGCTTGCTTGTGGGGGCTGGCCCCGCCTCACTGCTCTTGGAACCCAGTTACTCTCTGAAGAAGCCTGGGCTAGCCTGCTGGAGGAGGATATGCCACGCGGAGCAGAGCTGCACCGTCCCTCCGAGGCCTCTGTGGAGCAGCCGTCCCCGGGCCAACCTGGTAGCTACTGCAGATGTCTGAGTGAGTTCACCTGAGACCAGCAGAAGAGCTACCCTCTGATCACAGCCCAAACTGATGACACTCAGAATCATGAGCTAAAGAAATGGCTGCTGTATTACTTAAGTTTTGGGGTAGCTTGTTATGCAAAAAAACATAACGGATAGCCCCTCTCTGCAGAGGACTGTTTGTGTTCCTCCCAAATTCACATGATGAAATCCTAACCCCCAATGCGATGGTATGAGGAAGTAGGACCTTTAGGAAGTAATCCGAGGGTGGAGCTCTCATGAGTGGGATTCAGGTCCTTATAAAGCCACCCCTGAGAGCTCTCTTGTTCTCTTCCTGCCATGTGAAGCTTTAACAAGAAGTCAGCAGGCTGCAACCCGGGAAAGGGTTCTCACCAGAAACCCAACCACGCTGGCACCCCGATCTTAGGTCATTAAATTTTGGATTGTTTGGTATGTAGCAAACAGTGGGGCAAATACCCCTATGGTGTATTTCTTATAGTGGCCTGAACAGACTATGACATTCTCTTATCTCTGGTCACCTTTGTTACCCCCAGAACATGCACTGGTTCCTAGAATAGAGTCCAATACTCACCTCAGACTGGTTCCAGCAGGCAGCCTGGCATCCAAAATGTGAGGCCGTGCACGTGAGGCAGAACTCCAGGAGGGCAAAGGGGAGGAGACCACCAGAAATCGCCTTCACATAAATCTAGAGGCAGAAAGGAATAGATTTCTAGCCATTTGGGTAAGAGTGTAGGTAACTGTCCATGCCTGCAGGGCTCATCACGGGCCTCATGTGGAAGACCCCAGACTCTCCTGTAGCCTTGTGCACATTGGAGCCAATGCTGTTTGTGCCCCCCTCACACGCCCCTGCATGCACTTTGGCCTGACTTCCAGCTGCCAACACCTGCGTTTGCTTTGGCCTTCGAGTCTTCTCTGGCCCTTGGAGTCCACTGTGGTGTTTGCACAACGGGCCTGAAATTCTGGGGAAATTCCTCTATCAGTGACCGTTGACAGGAGATGGGTAACTACCCCGGCTCCCTCACCCTTAGGCTGGGAGGGGGTGCCTGGGGCATGCGCTCTGCACCGTCTTTCCCAGTTGAGCTCCAGCTGCCCTCAGTGTTGGAGAAGGTCTAGAGGAAAGGACCGCCAGTTGACCTGTGGGCTGAACTGGGCAATGGGAGGCTCCTCACCCCTCCCAGCCTTAGAATGCCCTCTCACAGTGGGAGGCGTTTTCAAAAACGCAGCCTTCAGAGAGTAATGTGTTGCTGAGACCATCTGGACTAATATGTGCCTGAACCCCATTCAGACCTCCATATAAACTTGTAAGCGCAGGGATCCACTCTTCCTGCAGCCACCCTGAGACAAGCCTCGCGGGTACGTTTGCTTGCTTATTCAACCTGCCACGGACCCACCTATAGCGATTGCCTCTTCCATTTCTCTTTGCCCTCCACATCCAGGGGCAAGTTCACAGACCAACACTCCGAGGTAAATGGCTTAACAACACACCTTTGTTGGCTTCCTTCTCTTTCCTGTCTCATTTCCCCATCACCCTAGAGGTGTTTCCTTCCCCTTTCAAATAAACTACTTGTCTCACAATCAGCTCTGGGAAGCACCCAAATGGAGCACCCTGGTGGGGTAAATGTGTTGGGGGAGGGGCTGGGGTTCGTCCCTGGGGGTCGGGGCATGGGCACCAGCAAGGTCAGGATCATCAGCTCTGCTGGCTCCTGCGTCGTTTTCCTGCTTCCTGTCACCCTGCCTGGACGCTGCCCTTGGAAGGCTGGGAGGGGCCTTCAGAGCTGCAGAGGCTTCCGTTAAGACAATCCCGGCCCTGGCTGAGCCCCTGGCCAAGGCAGGACTGAAGGGGCCCCCCGGAGCTCCACCCACGGCCAGGAGGGCAGGTCCACAGAGCTCAGCGTCACATCCTCACCCCCGCACGCTCTTCTCTCTGCAGCTGAGTGTGGGTCTCCCAGGGTTTGGGCCTGCGCCTGTTGGATTCCAAAGCCCTGCACTACACTACCCTCCTCTGCCCCTGATTAGCAGAGGCCCCACAGACGCCTGCAGATACTGTGACTCTTGACTTTCCACAACCATGACACCCCCAGGGGGCATGTCCTAGTTGCACGTGCTGGACCCTGGAGGCCAGCACCCTGCCTGGGCTTCTGGCCGGCTGCCACACCCTCCAGATACCAAGTTACATCAGCTGGGTCCACAGGGTCTTCTCCCCTTGGAGATCGCCTCGCCCCATAGACAGGTCAGGCTTTAAACCCCGTGCCCTGCCGGCTCTCTCTGGCTTGCTCGGTTAGTATGGAGGGAGGACCAGGTTGCTGTAACAGTGGGGCAAGTTAATCTTGATCCTGCTCTTCAGGCCTGCTCGAGTGCCACATGAACGCCAGCGATGTCCCCCCCTGGTCCCCGGGCCCCGACTCTCCCCGTGCTGCTGGCTGACTCCCGGCTGCCTCGCTTGGCCAGAGCACTCCCTTTGGCTCCAGAGACGCCTTTGCTCGTGCGCGTGCAGACTGGAAGCCCTGGGGACTCGATGCCCCTCAGGGGCAGTTCTCAGCTGATGCTGGTGGGGAGTTGGTGGGCAGGTGCCCTGGCTCGCTTGCCCCAGGATGAGGTATAACTCTGAGGTGCATGGTCTGCACTGCCCACCAGAGCCCTGGCAGGATTAAGCTCCAGGGGTGACTTGCTTCAGGGCACCCTTTATGTGTGGCTTCCTCTCCTTGCTTTTCTGACCTCCCTTCCCTACTGGAGTTTCCTGGGGTAATTGGTGCAGTCGACGACTTGCACCGAGTCCTTGTCCCAGCATCTGTATGTGGGGGGCCCCCAACTAAGACAAGACCTAGTGTCAGCACCTCCTGTTCCTGCGACAGGCTGTCCCTCAACAGATGCCTGGGGGCAGGTGATCTTGTGAATCTGAGTGTGGCAGCTGCCCTGGCAGGAACAGGAAGGTGTGAGGAGGGGCCCACTGGCTTCAGCTCTGAGTCTCAGGTCCTCATCTGTGCAGTGGGGGTCCATCACGCCTGCCTCAGAGGTCATAGCGTTTTGGTGAGGGGCTAAGTAATTTTTTGGACCCAGTGTTGTCATACTAGGATGGAATTCTGCCACGACACACCTTCCTGCACTGGAGCAACCTTGTCAGCAAGTCCTCCCAGCCTTTTGGAAGCATGGGGCCCAGTGCTCACCGTCAGGGGCAAGATCAGATCTGCGATGAGAATGAAGACTCCGATCAGGGCGAGGATGGAGCTGACGATGTTCATGCCGATGCTGCCATTCACCTGGAGGAGGCAGGGGGTGGAGAGAGGTGAGTCTGAAGCTGGGGTTATGGAAACTCCTAGGAGTAGAAGAAAAGAGAGCCCAGGGCAGCAAGGAGATGGTTCAGCAGAGTGGCAGGCCGGCTTAGCCCATGTGCAAGGAGGTAAGAAATTCTTTACTCGATGTGCAAAGTCCATGTAGGGCAGGGACCGTGTTTGGGGAAATACCTCCATAAGCGGCTGAGGAGCAGGAAATGAGATTGGGAAGTTGGGCTGGAGGGAGACAAGGAAAGGATGCTGAACTGCTCTGCAGAAGAAATGAGCAGGGATTTGGGGGCACAGGAGCAGGGGTTCCAGGCTTGCTTTGAGAGAAGGCAGCAGGGAAGTTCTCCTGCCGGTGGGAGGCTGGAGTCTGGGTGGGCAGGATTGGCTAGGGAAGGGTTTTGGACCTAGGAAGTCTAATTTAAATTTTAAAGGATCTGCTCTCAGTGTTGAGATTCGGAAGCCCTCCAACTAGTCACTGTCCATGTCCTACTCAGACTGCCTCCCCTGAGGGTAGTTATGAGATGGAGCGGCAGAGGGAATATAGAGGGGACTGTGTTCCACCTTTAGGCAGAGGCCAGGGCAGCTGTCAGGCAGAGCAGAGACTGTGGGAGAGACTCCGACGGAGGTCAGACATCAGAAGCAGAGGGGACGAGGAGCCCTCCAGGATTGGCAGACATCTTAGAAAGGGCGTCAGACTTCTCAGAGGATGTGGGAGAGAGCTTGATCTACTTTTGTTAGGCTATTAAGGGGCACTGTAAGCTCAGCTGATGTTGGGGTTCTCAGGGGGGTTCTGGTCCTGTTGAAGGGGGTGGAGGAAGGCAGACTGTGGGGCAGCAGAAATTTGCCTTGCAGACTGGGGATGGTAATTGGAAGCCGTCTGTTAGATACCCAGCCCCAAGCCAACCAGAGGCTTTGCTATTAAAGAGGTGGGAGAAGTTATACAGAGAATGTGGAGGCAGGGAAGGGGGACTTGGAGCCAGGGATGAGAGGGGCCTCTGTGAACTCTAAATTTCTCCCAAAGAAGCTGTGGGGCTGTGATAAAATTCAAAACATGCAAAGATACATTGCTGGTTGCTGAGACAGAAGATGACACTCCAAAGGTAAAAGGGAATTCTGGGCCCTGTGTCCTGGGGTTTGGACTCTAAATTATTCAAGTCAAACATTCCCCTCACTTTTCCAGGTCCAGCGCAAGAGGTGGCTGAAATGTATACGTTTCCACTGAGCCTCAACCTGGCTTTCTGCTTATTAAGAGCTCTCCAGGTCATTGCACTGCAAAGGCTTGTGAGTTTCCCAAACCACCAAGTCTTTGAGTAGTTAAATGCCAAGAGTGAAAGTACCGCTCTGGAATCAGGGAGCTCTGGCTTCAGATCCTGACTCTGCTCTGTTCCCACTGTGTGATCTTAGTCAAGTCACCTGAACTCTCTGTGCCTCAGTTTCCTTCTCTATAAAATGGGGATACTAGAACTTTGCAGATTTGAGGGATTGAATGGAACAAACTCTGTAAGCACTGACCCAGGGCCAAGGCCAGGCCACTCTGCTGCTGTGAGGCCTTTTCCTGTGTTTGCTATAGAGTCAAATTCTAATGTTCGGGGATGGTCAGAGATGGCATCATAACTCACCATACAAGGGCTGGGGTTCTTTTCAGCACACACCGAGAGGGCTCCAGATGCAATAAACTACACAGACAAAAAAGAGAATGAGCAATTGTCCAGTGCGTTGAAAAAGCACCATCATTCAGAGATACAGTGCTCAGTCTTTATGTTCGAGACACTTGGTTTCTCACGATGTGCAAATCAGTTTACCTTCTGTCAACACTTTCATAATTTCAATGGCAAGACTCCAAGTATACAGAATATCATGACACTCAAACTTCTGCATGTCTAGTCTAAAACCTTCCTTTCCCCTAAAACGAATTTTGTCTAGAAGTCTCATTATTTTCTGTGACTAGTTCTTCTTGGGTCTCTTGCCTGAGCACGGTCATTGCCCAAACTAATTGTTTGCCTATCTGACCTCATGCTGCCCCATCCTTAGCTGTGGTCTTGGAAAACCAGGGGTCAGAGTAGCAGGGTGAGCAGAGCCTTGGGGCTGGGAGACAGGAGACCTAGGTTTCTGCTCCACTTCTGCCCTAAACTCACCTTGCTGTGATCCTAGCCATGTCACTGCCCCAGCCTGAGGGTCCTGAGTAGCCCTCAATACTGTGAGGCAAGTAGTGGATATATGAACACAGAGGCACTGAGAATTTGGTTTAGTTATAAGAGCCTTTAACTGATGGGGGGTAGGCTCAAGACTATTTCTAACACTTCCTAGTTAGGAGGATGTGGTCATCTCACCTAACCTCTCCAAGCCTCAGTCTTCTCATCTGGCAAATGGGCATGAGATAAAATCCCTGCTCTCTACCTACATGGGTCATGCAGTTCTAATGGGAGAATATAGGTGGAATTATAAGGAATGCAGGGGCCTTGGTAGCACTTTTGAAGCTGCTCCCCAAAGGAACTCATTTTCTCTGCTATTGGGGAGGCCAGAAGGCAGTAAGGTTGGACTATAAAGGGAAGATTGGGCTTTCAGAGAGTTTGAGGAGCATGACAGCTGCTCACCCTCCCTAAAGGTTATAATACCACCTACTGAAAGCAACTCTCAGCCTTCCAGCTGTGACCACATTCTCCTCACATGGGACTTATTTATGTTCAAGGCGTTGCCCCAAAGGGCAGGTGTTCCTGTCACCACTGTGCAGAGAAAACAAGCCTGGAACAAGGTCATCTGGGTGATAAGCTAGCCTGAACTCCCACCAGCCTAATGATACATTTTAAAGGCAAGTTTGTAGTTAGAGAAAAGCAGATTTTATTGACTTAACCTGTATTTTTCTTACTGTGACTATTGTAACAATCAATGCAGGATTGACAAATGAATTTCAAAAATTTCAAAAAGTTTTGAAAAAAATCCAGTGCATGAAGGAAATTATTTGACATATATGATGATCTCATGACAGTGCTGGAGTTACAGAACATCAAAGGACCTCAACTCAGAAAGAATAAACACTGGGATGGATTTGGAGTCACCCCACCCAGGCACAGATCCCCGGCTTTCTAGCCAGATGATCCTTGAGCTGCTGTTTAAGCTGCTTCAACTTCCTCATCTGCAAAATGACCACAGAACTAGTTCCTACCTCATATTACTTTTCATTAGGATCATTGAGATGCTGTCTGAGAAATACTTGTAAATACTAAACTGATCTAAGAGCATTTATTGTGACTGATGCTTGTAAATTTTCGAGAGGACATTTGAACTGGATGATCTGATATCCTAAAATTGTAACCTAGTCTCAGAGGGTTTGTTTGTTTCAGGGACTAATGTCTAAAATTTAGCTGAAATCTAAGAATGCAGGAAGGAGGTATTAGCCACTATGATAAGACAAGAAAAGTAAATACAAAATAAGGGATTGAAAAGGAAGAAACAATAGGATCATTATTAGTAGATGATATGATAGTCCACCCAGAAATCCCAAAAGATCCTACATGCAAATCATAGAACTAATAAGAAAGTTTTAGTAACTTAACTAGATATAAGGTCAACATGCAAAAGTCAGTTGCATGTCCATATACCAGGAATAAACAGTTTGAAAATGTAAGTTTAAAATTTATTTATCAAAGGAAAATGAAATTTATATTTAAGCAAGGAAAGTGTAAAAATATTTAGGAAAAAATAGCTAAGAAAAGATATATGTTTCCATGGAGAAGCTGATTGAACCTTATTGAAAGGCATTAAAGTAGCCTTAGTAAATGGAGCAATAAGCCATATTCATATATCAGAAGGCTCAATATCATAAAGATGCGAATTCTTCCTAAATTGATCTGTAAATTCAGAATCAGTTAAAATCTCAAGAATATGCAGTTTAGATGGGTGATCAAAAGCTAAGATTAAGACATTTCTGAAAAGAAGGAATTCAGGGAAATTCTAGATATCAAGATTTACTCTAAAGCCATAGTAAATGATTAAATACAGTGTAATATATAGGTGAAGGGCAGGCAAGGAGACACATGGAACAAATGAGAGATCCCAGAAACAGACCCACACACATACAGACAGATCACAGACAGTTGGCTTTACATGTAAGTGGAGAAAGGAGAGCTTGACCAGTAAATGATGCTGGAACAATTATCCACAGAGAGAGAAAACAACACAATCGGACTTTTCACTCTATAACATTAATCTGAATCAATCTCCTGTAGGATTAAGGATTTACATGTAAAAGACAAACTTTTAAAATTTTAGAAGAAAATATAAAAGAATCTCCTTATAGCCTTGGAGAGGAAAAGATTTCTTCAGCAAGATATAAAAAGCATGCACAATAAAAGTTTTCACAAGTTAGACCACATTAAAATTAAAATCTTTGGTTCATCCAAAGGCACCATAAAGAAAGTAAAAGGAGAAGCCAGGAAATTAGAAGCTATTTGCAACACATAACTAACAAATGGGAAACATGCAGGATATGGAGAATCCAAAAGAGTCAAAAAGAGAAAGACAAGCCACCCAGTAGAAAGCAGGCCTAAGAGGTTGGACGATGAAGAAAAGTAAGGGAATGATAAATGTAGCGTTAAGATGAGTGGTTTCCTCTGGGGGTAGGAAGAGAGATACCCTTGGGATTTTAAAAACAGGGGTTTTAAAATAGTTGGTGGTGCTCTCTCTTTTAAGCCACGGGGTGGGCACATAAGCCAGTCATTATTTAGATTTTTAGAATTTTTAATTGTCATAACATACACAAACTTTGCCATCACAATCACCTTTGAGTGTACATTTCACAGTCACCAAGCACACTCACACTGTTGTGCAGTTGCCACCACCATCCACCGCCAGACCTCCTCGCAGTGGCGCTCCGTATCCACTGGACACTAACGCCCTGCTCCTCCCTCCCCACAGTCCCAGGCTACCACCATTCCACCCTCCATGCCTATGAATTTCTGTCTTTGTCTTTGACCACTCTACGAACTACGTGTATCATTATATACCAGAGTAGTCCAATTAAACTCTACACTGTTAGATGCGCTCAGTGGTGTGCTGCTAAATGTCTGACGTCTGCCTTGTAGGGGGCAGTGATACAGGGGGAGGCCCTGATTTGGAGAAGCTCTTGACTCCCGCAGTGAACATACACCTGTCACAGCCTGTCTCCCTTCACCCAATGGTTTGACAACCAGTTTACGTAATTCCTGAAAATGTTACAGCTGGTTCTCGGGACTGGTAGGTAGATGTGGCTCTAGCACGTAATTTTATGTACTCTGATTTGCATATGAGGCATTTCATAAAAGGAGAACCCAGAGGGAATGGAGGAGTTAAAGCCCATGTCCTGTTTGTCTGGAGACAAAAGTCTCTGACAGGCAGGAGAGGGCGTTGCAGGGGTGGGGGGTGTCTTTCAGCCTTTGTGCACCTGTGGTTAGCTCCTTCCTGCCCTGCCCCATCCCTGTCTGGTGACCCAGGAAGGAGGCCACGTGGCCTTGTACTCACGGATACTCCTCCCCAGAGCGGGTACCCTGATATCCCGGTGGCGGACAAGCTGTGATACAGCAAAGGATTGATTGCAGAGAAGATATGTGTCAGGCCGATGAGGATCTGGATGGCCTGCCGGGGAGGACAGGTCACTGTAAGTGTGCAGAGCTGGGGCCGAGGGCCGTCTGCTGCCCTCTGCAGCCCTGGCGGGGCCCCAGAATCCATGACATATGACTGGTGTTGGGGCCCACCTGCAGGTCAAAATCTCTAGGGGTGGGGTCTGGGCCTAGGCATTTTTTAAAGCTCCACATGTGACACTAGTGTGCACTCGGGGTTGACAACCACTGGCATACAAGAACGGAGAGACTAAAGGGGGAAACGTCTTGCCTTCAGCATCTGTCCCCCCAGGGCATGCAAGGGGCAGCCTGGGGTTTGCTGAAAACTGGCTGGGCTTGGATCTGGCACTGGCGCTGGCCAGTTTTGTGGCCTCAGACCAGCACACTCTGAGTCTGTTTCCTTATTTGTAAAACAAGGATAATCGTATCTGGCTTGCAGGGTTGCTGTAGAGAAGTGCCCACTGAACATGGAGACCAGTTCCTCGTGCGTAGCAGGTGTTTCAAAGCCCTCTGCCCACCGGTTCCTCTGCCCAACCCCCATGTTCTCTTTTCAGCCTTCCCTTGATGTGCCCCAAACTCCCCTTTGCAGTGACATTCTGGGAGACCCTCAGGGCCCACAAGGCCTGCGGTCTTCCTCCTCCCTCTGCTTTTCTTCGACTTCTGTCTGTGAAATTTACTGGCTTTACCCTAATCCTACTGAAATCCTATGCTTCCCTCAAGGACCAACTAAATCCTTTTCTGATGCCCCATTCAGGACAAATGCCTTCCTATTTGGTGGCCATGCAGCCTTTGCTACCCCTGAGGACTTGGGGGTGGCATTTGATGTCTCTGGGCCTCAGTTTCCTTAGGGGTCACGGGACCAGGGCAGAGCAGAAGCTTCCAGCTCTCCTGCTCCATGAACCTATGACATGGTGACAGATCTGGATGGCATGTGACATCCCTTCATGAGAGGATGGGCTTGACTTTGTCTTTGTGCTCACTTTATCTTTTCTTATGTGGGTATAGTTTCCTTCCAAAATGAAGTTTTAATTGACTAAAGATTGTCCATGTTTTTGGCTTTTCACTGTGTTTGACCAGGTTTGCCAGGTATTTGCTCTGACTTAAAATGATTGTTTTGAGAAATTCTCAAATCCTCCCAAAGTATCTTAAGAGAATTGGGAGGCAAAGTTAACAAGCATTTGCCCAGAATTTGGGAATAAAAGAAAAGTAATCATAACATAAAATTACTATATGCAATATCATATAATATCTTTACCTATTGAAGGCTTTCCATACATATTTATAATCTCATCTGATGCTTGGGAGCAGGATTCCTATTCCTGGTTCTGTTTTATAGAATTTAGGCCAAGATTTGGTTTTGATACGTTCAGGATGCAAACAATGGCTTGTTCTTGGTACAATCTATGTGTTTGTTCCTGAAGAATCAAAGAGGAAGGATGGGTCGGGGTGTTCATGAGCCTGCCCCCCTTCTGAACCCGTCCCCGCCCTCCTGCCCCCAGTAGGTGGTGTGTCCTGTCAAAGAAGCTGGACAGTGTGCACTCTTTGGGCACACATGACAATTTGAGCCTGTGTCTTATGGCAACGGCCAGAAGGTATTATTATGACAACCAGTAAGAAACAAAGACCCTCCTTGGTCTTCAAGGATGGTGTCTTGTCCATCTCTGAATCCCCAGCTCCCTGTAGAGTGCTGCCATGTTGAATGAGTGAATGTATCTGTTACCTGCCAGGCCCCGTGCTAACAGCTGGCCGGGCATCCAGTGGGGTGCAGGACAGATCTGGCTTCTGCCTCAAAAACAGAATTGAACTGAGGCTTGCAAGGTACCCAGTGAAACCAGGGGAAGCAGGAAAGTGTCAGGAATCCCCTTGGTTGAAGAGGAAATCAGAGAGGAATTTAAGATTGCAGCTCCTGAAACTTCTCCTTCTAAAGATGAGGGAATGGAGGCCCGGGGAGGGGAAAGGGTGTGTCTGAGGTCACCAGCAAATCCAGTTGACCCTGAAAGCTGGTGGCCCTACTTGGGGCCAACGGTCATTTCAGTGAAACTTTTGCTGACTCTTGACCCTGATAGTTAGACAGGGAAGGTCTTAACAGTTTTACAGCCTCCCCAGAGACTGTAGATCTGACTGGGGAGTGGGAAGAAGGCCAGGGAAGGTCGTCCTGGTCCAGCCTCCAGAAACTGTCACCTACCCTTTTGTCCTTTGCCCTCTAAATCCATTCCCTTCCTCATCCAAGTGCACTAGAGGTGTGCTTAGGAAGTGACTCAAAAAAAAATCACACTCACCCCTAATGTTCTGACTTCCTCATTTATGAATTTCTTGGGATCAAATGTAGAAAAGGATCCAAACGACATGTTCCATTGAGGCTGGTTTGAGGTTTGCATCTGCACAGGGATGAATTGTTGGGGATTCTGAGGGTCCCCAGGCAAGGTCTGGAGATCCGCAGTTCCAAGGGGGTACTGGATCACGCCGTGTGGGGGCTGCCAATGGGCCACTCCCGCCGGATTCTGGAGCACAACGGGCTGACTCTGTACATCTCTCAGTTCCGCTGGATTCTGGATCATCATGAGTGGGGTCTGTAAGTTCCCTCTTCCTGTATCACATATGGTCACTCCTGAGGTTGAGTAAGTGGTCACACCCAAAGGCTGCCCACGGCTTCCAGGAGCCGCAGAGTTCCAGGGCTGAGCGACATGGACGTTACCTGGGGCAATAACACCGGGCATGCTGTTGGCTCTGATCTCTGGCTTGGGCTTGTTTACAACTGCTGCAAAACATATAAGAAGGTGCATTTTTCTTCCTTTGATAAAATGATTAATGCATCTTACCCTTCCATCTTGCCTGTTAGCTTTAGTTTCATCTTCATTAAAACAAAAATAATCTGGCACAATATTATACAAAATAAGGTTCTTGCCTTCTTTCTAGTCCATGCTCTTGGGACCTGCTGTGTTCTATTTCAGGGGTTGAATTTACCAGACTAGGTTTCTCGAGGCTACTTAACTCTTTGTAGACCTTTTATTTACAGTTTGCGCAGTGGCTTTGTCTGGAGCCCTGCAGCTGGTATTTCCATTTGCCTGCCCTGAGTTATCTGAGCGATCAGGTGCCACTTCTCCGCCCTGTCTCCTCTCCATCCTGCTGATTGGCCTGGGGATGGACAACTGATCCCACCTGGGCCCATAGCTCTTCTCGCCTGGGAATTTGGAACTGGACTCAAGGACCACTGTGGGACAGAGGCTGTGCAGAGCTGGAGGGGTCCCATTTATGTCACGTGTAGGAGGAGTAGAGGGAGACAACAGTGGAAAGAACGAGAGTGATATGGTGAGTGGGAGGGAGAGAAAAAGAAGAGGAGAAAGAGAGAGCATGAGAGACAGAGACAGAGAGAGACAGAGAGGGACTGCCCTGGATCCTGATGCCCTTTGATCCTTGGTTCCAGGTTCTCACTAACCCCAGCTGTGCTTTCTGCCTTTTGAAGTTTATAACTAGTTAACTAGTTTGTGGATTTAATTTAATTCAGTGAATTTGTGTCTGACTTGTCAACATTAATTGGTTTTGGAGAGAAAGCACAGACTCTCTCCTGGGCTACTTGCCATCTGAGGAGGGACCATGGACCGAATGGGCTGGGAATGATCATCCTTTTACGTCTCTTCATGAGTCTTGTCTATGTTGGTGTTGGGGTTAGGACCATGGAGAAATTTCTCTGATTTCCACTTATCCATGTTTAAACCATTATGCTTCAGGGTACTAGAGATTAGATAGCAGCCAAATCCTTAATAGCATGTAGTTTCTACTGAATCCTCCAAGTGATAAAGGAATCACTTGGAGTGAGACTTGGGATATGATTCTGATTTGACCTCTGATAAGCTGAGAGACTGGAGAATTTCTTAATTTTTCTATGCTGATAAGCAAGCATGCAATGGGAGGAGGCAGGTGTGTATCTTCCTCAGAACGTTGAAGACATTGGCAGGTAAAGACATCCCATTTAGATGAGAGAAAGGTCACCAGTACCATTACTTGGTGTTAATTGTAGCTGTTGATCTTGTCTCTCCACCGATGTTGTACCCTCCCTGCTAGCAGCAAAACAACTTCTATGGCTCCTGGATTCCAGAAATAAGCTGTCAGGAGACTTTTATCATCTCCTAATCAGAGTTATAAAATGTATCCTGTCACAGTGCTCTATCACCTCAAGAGCTCCAGAGTGAGAAAAAGACTGTCAATGATCAACTTGGGTTCAGTGCTGGCTGATTGGGTTGTCAGTAGTTACTACCTATCAGCTGAAAAATAAACCCAAAGGCAGGAGGGCATCACGAGCTCAGACAGCTGTGGATCTATTTCTCATTTCTTAATTTTCTAGTCATGTGACCTTGAACAAGTTGCAGAAACTGCCTAGGCCTCAGTCTCCTTGTCTATGAAAGGTAGATAATAGCAATGCCTCCTCGGCCCCGAAGGGTGTTATTAAGTGAGAAAGCTTCCAGCAGAGCCTGGCACAGAGGAAATACTAATTAACATTTCTTTGTTGAGGGTAAAGACCATCTGAAGAGAAGGGCTATGTTTTGAACATATTTTCTAAGTGACTTCAAACTATTTTGTTCCCAGAGCTTAACAACAGTGGATCTCAAAGCGTGGTCTCCAGACCAGCAGTGTCAGTCTCACTGGGGAACCTCTTAGAAATACCAGTTCTCCATCCCCTCCACAGACCTACTGAATCAGAAACCCTGGGGTGGGGACCAGCCATCTGTATTTCATATGCTGTCTGTGTTTTGCTGGATCTGACACTGGCAGTTTGAGAACCAAGGCTGTACATCAGTGTCCTACACTCTCTTCTTGGTGACTTACTTCCCTTCCCTTGGCTCTTATAAATATTGGTTTATAGAATTTTGTGACATTTCTAGATTTTTCCTTATTTTTAAATCCAGCTGGTTTCTAAGGTGCCTTTCAACTGTTCTCTTCCATAAGGCCAACTGCATTGGTCTGTTACCTGACAACTCAGCACCCATGGGTGTTCATGCCTCACAGCCCTGTACCCATCAGGCAGTTCCTGCAGGAATAT